GAGCATGTCCCCCAGTAAGTGAATGACTTTATTCTATGGCATTGGCAGAAGGTTAGACAGGGCGTGAAAACCTGAAATCTACCTTAATGTTAATCAGAAATTGTTTGTCTTCAGTGCCATTTGGGCCGAAGCGTTATTGATGTTTATCAAGTATGGAAATTGTTATGTCTCAATGATTGTATATCTTTGAATCAAATCAATAATTGTTAGGGAAAACTTATCACATTATGCCTTTGTTGTTCCTTGCTCCTATTTGCTTCTGCCATATTGGTATATATATGGCATAACGTTATATTGTATCTATTATTGAACTCACTAAGCGTTATCGCTTACCCCTCCCAATGTTTTAACATAATGCAGGCAATAAGCACCCAGTATAGTTGGAAGACTTAGAATAGTTGTAATATTATTTTTTTTGTATTTTGGTTTAGGTTTGTATAGATTTACAATATCCTAGGTAGTCATGTAAAATCTTAAAACATAGTCGGTTTGTATCCAATCTTTTGTAATGACTTTATCAATGTAAAAATATTATTTTATGAATATGCATGTAACATGTTATGGAGTAACTATATTGTCAAGTATGAAAGTTTGGGTCTTTCAGAAATATGAAAGTATAGAAAGGGGTTCTTTCAGCTGCGCAATAGGGCCAATTCCGGCACTCTGAGATTATTCAACCCTGATCACATGTGACTTAACGTATTCACCTAATGGCTAACTCCCATCACTCAGAGTCCCACAAAGCACAAAGCAAGTAGCATTTCGACGAAGGGAAACCTAACCACATAATCCAATTATATTGCTCTATCCTCTACTCAGGAATCTATACTAGCATGCCATTCATAAGGCTCATACACATATAACAGGCACATAAGGCATCCTCCTAGATCCTTAGTCCTAATCTAGCATGTTGTTCTACTGAACTGATAATCATAACATAAACTTGTATGGGTACTTTGGGGAAAAACTTACTTGAGCTCGGCCGGTCGCGCACATCACACACCTTGTTCTTTCTCAACACTCTTAACTTAGCTTTTAGAAAACCATTTTCTTTGTAAAGACCTTTTAATTCCTCGGTTTGAGTCCAGACACCCCCGAGGGTGTGTCTGAATCCCTCAAACCAAGGCTCTGATACCAACTTGTAACATCCCAAATTTCGAGTCCAAAAATTTCATTTTTAATTAATTGAGTATAAAATATTCATGAGAAAACTACGTGAAAATATATCGTTTCGTAAATCAACATAACATGTCTGGAAACCCAAATCATAAAGTAGCAACATGTCAGAGTACAATCCCAGAATATCTCAAGTGCGGAAAATCAATGCGTGTGTGTGTATGATGTGCTGCTACCGCGCCAGCTCCTTCCCCTTTGATGAAGAGGTACCTGAAACCAAAACTGTAAACTGTAAGCACGAAGCTTAGTGAGTTCCCCCATCGTACCGCATACCATACAATCACATAACATACATATACTGTCAGGCATATCTGGGTGCCCGACCTACCCCTTCGGTCCTCTCGACCGGATACTGCCTAGCATATCTGGGTGCTGGCCTCCCCTTCGGTCCTCTCGACAGGATACTGCCTAGCATATCTGGGTGCTGGCCTCCCCTTCGGTCCTCTCGACCGGATACTGGGGACTATTTCACCCCTCTACTACTACCACATAACATATAACACATAATCATATTCTATCTAGCATGACTGGGTATGACAACCCCCTTTGGCCTTATCGACCGGATACTTGGGGACTATCACCCATACTGCTACTAGCATATAACATCATATCATACTAGCACATAAAACATCAGGTAGTAGCAAACTTAGATGAATATCACAAAGACAATCATCTAACATACAACTCCTACTAGTGGGTCGGCATTGTGGCCGTAGACCCACCGCTACTGGAAGGTAACTCACCTTGAACGAAGCTGCTGATAATCTGCGTGGGGAAAATCTCTTTCTGCTGCTGCTCCGGAAATCCTCCGGCTATAATCCCCACAAAAACACTTAGTCAGAGTATGATATCTATTCTTAGGGTAAAATGACCATTTTACCCCTGACCAAGTCCAAGACAAAGTCAAAGTCAACTTCCAGTTGACCTGACTCGCCGAGTTGGGCCGCCAACTCGTCGAGTCCCTATCCTTTCATATGTCCTTCTTCACGCCTCTACTCGTCGAGTTTGGCAACGACTCGACGAGTTCTCCTTCTAGAACAACCCCGGATGAAGCTTCATCCGACTCGCCGAGTTGTATGAACAACTCGTCGAGTTCATCTCCTTCCTATATAAACAAGTCCTGTCCTCGACTCGCCGAGTTGTATGAACAACTCGTTGAGTTCATCCTCAAGAGTTGGGAGATTGCCTTGGACTCGCCGAGTCTGTTCATGTACTCGCCGAGTCCTATGAACTCCAGGACTATGGCTTATCCCAATACGTTGGGTCACTCCTCTGGACCCTCTAAAACCTTTCCTGCACTCTACTGGTTCTCCTTGACCCATAACAGAAAAGGAGTCTAACCTCGGACTCGCCGAGTCCCAATAACGACTCGCCGAGTCGATACAGTCCAAGTCTTATTTCTTCGATTTCTGGTGTACAACTCTTGTCCAAATGATAGATCTAGGTCCCTAAACTCGATCTAGCACGTAAAGTTACAAACTTTACGTGCATGCATGGGACTTTGAGCCTAAAAGGCTCTAAAAGAGACTCTTGGGTTGCATGGGGGCTTCCATGGGTGCAAAAGCAACCCCTTTCTGCCTTGTGATTCCTCCATGGACCTAGATCCGAAGCCTCAACCCCCAACCATGCTTGCAATCATGGTTGGTTACCAAGAATGGCTTATAAAAGCCCTAAATCTCCCCAAAAAGGGATCTAGCAAAAGAACAAGCAAGGTATCGACTTTATACCTTCTGTGAACTGCAAACGGTGCACAAACTTGAACTCCCTTGGTCTCCTCTTGATTCCTCTAGGCTTTTCTTTCTCCTTTGAGTTCAAAATCACCAAAAAGCACCACAAATGCCTTAGCTCTTTATACAAACGGCTAGGGTTTGCTATGGGGGTTTTCTGGAAGCAATAGGGACGAAGGGTGGCTGAATGAGATGTTTAAATAGGGTGCAAACCCTTAGATTAGGGTTTTGTCCAGTCAGAGTCTACTCGTCGAGTCTGGAAGCCGACTCGACGAGTCTGTCATTTAAATCCCGGATCAAATCCGTTTCTACTCGACGAGTTGGTTCTTCAACTCGCCGAGTCCCAAGCCAAAAATGCAAAATACTTAAATAAAATACATACTAGGAACCAGGTGCTACAATACCATTGATCATGGTCTTCAATTATATCCATCTCCGACCTCGGCGCACATAGCCTATTATAATGCAGACTAGGGGATGTCTCCTGACATGACGGTCCATATCGAGATACTGCATTTTCCTTTTCCTCGGCGACAACCTTGTATCATTATCCTCCAAACATCAGCTATTAATTGAGTTAGGTGCCTTGAAAGGGGTTGTGTGCATGCTCAAAATGAGATGGATTTTTTCCTACACATTCTCCTATGTGTTAGCTACAACTTAGGCTCCGGAATCAATTTCATTGGATTAATAATGACTGAGTTATAGTGGCTTGAAAGGGATTGTGTACAAGCTGTTTTTTCAACACTTTTACTTTGTGTAAAAAAATTTGTCTTCTTTGAACTATTTTATCTCTCACATACGAGCTTTAAATGAGCTGAATTGTTTTCCTACATATTCTCCACCATGTTAGCTACAACTTAGGCTCGAGAATCACTTTAAATGGATTAATATTGACTAAGTTGCAGTGCCCTAAACATGGGCTGTTATTGTTGTTTTTTTTAACTATTTTAAGTTTATGTAGAAATTTACATCATCTTTGAACTGTCATATCTCTCTCATGTGAGTTGTCATCTTTGAACGGTCATATCTCTCTCTCTCTCTCATATGAGCTCATAACGAGCTGATTTTTTTGTGCATATCCTCCATTGGGTTAATTACAACTTAGGCTCTTGAATCATTTTAATTGAATTAATATTGGCTGAGTTACCGTGCCCTAAACATAGGATATTATTGATGTTTTTTTTTTAACAATTTTAAGTTTATGCAGAAATTTGCATCATCTTTGAATTGTCATATCTCTCTTATACAAGCTCAAAATGAGTTGATTTTTTGAGTGAATCCTCTGTGTTGACAACAATTAAGCTCCAGAACCACCTTAATTGACTTAATTAATATTAGTTAAGTTATACAAAGGGACAGTGTTTCTCGAATGCTTACTTGTGGTTTTTTCCATAACTACATGCTTGTAGTTTTTTCCACATTATGGTTGCAATTGATGTTGGTAATTTTAATGTTATGAACATATTTTAGTGTAGTTATTATTATTAATATTGAGATAGATTGAACTTCATTTACTAACCGAGACAGGAGGTGTGGGGTGCACATTCGGAGAGATAAATGTGAACTCGGGAATATTGGGGTAGAGACCTTGGGTGCAAGGTTCTAAGGAGCTGAGCCCCTGGGAGGGGCTCTAGGTGCAGCACCTCGAAACCTAAACGGATTTTTATATCTGGAAAGGGTCCAACCATGCAAATTTCTGCCAAAACTAGTAGTGATATCATGATGATGTCAAAATTGGTTGTGTCATAATAACCAACTCATTTTGGTGCCAAATGCATGTAACTTCCATCAACCAACTTTCAACCGATTTTTTTTTATCATTTATTTAAGGATGATTGAAGTTCCAAAATTAGGTTGGAACATGTACTCTCGAAAATCATTCTTTTGATTTTATCTATCTCTTCAAGAACACAAAACAGAAAAGTATTTTTCTATGTTTCAAATGTAGAAATGGTCTGACTTGTAAATTGTTATTCTTTGGATTATTCCAAATCTGATTTCATGATACCACCAGGCTATAGGGTCAAAATCAAAGATTTTGGAAAGTGATTGCAATCATGATCCTAGAAATATCCAAGTAAATTGATATTTTTAAAACCCCAAAATCTAACGGTTGACATTCTCTAACTTAAAAATAATCTAGCCTCTTCAGAAACCATAACTAAATTTATTAGCTAAAATATTTACAATGTGTGTAGTGCAAGCAAATCAGAATGGAACCTCTACTATCTTGCTTGGGCTTCAGCTATTTAGTTTACCAATTAGGTGTATTTTCATATGACCGACTCCTGCAGCTCCGCACTTAGCATATGGTGGAGTAGCATATCTACCTTCTGACTGCGTGTCTTTTTGCTAGACAAATTTATCACAAAAAAATGGTAACCAAATGAGAAGTGGGTATTACGTATTTCAGTTATAACCCGACCCAACCATGTTGTTTATGAATACTTACACCAAGTTACGGCGTCCACTTCCTTCAGTTTCCTGAATTAATAAATTATCATATATGCACATATATAATATAGAAGACATTAACTCACCAGCTCATTTATAATACACACACATCAACTGATGCACAAGTATCAAAACTTCACTAACCTTGTCATGTTCTTCTTCCTCAAGTTCTGACTCGGCAAAAAATGCCTCCAATACAAAAGCGACAATCTGCAAACAATCAACAATTCCGGCCATTGAGATTCAAAATTTATTTAAAAAATGTGAGGGCTTTGAATGCCAATCACGAGGACTCACTAAATTGAGGAGGAGTAAAACTGTTATTAGATAGAAGCTGATGAAGTACACATAGGTCCAACCACTTCCGCTCAATGTTGCATAATCCTGAAATAGTTGAATAAATTTTTTTACTTATAAACCAATCATAGCCATTTATCAAAAGTATATTCACATCATGATATTTAATTTTCAAATGAACATGCCATCATACCTGCATCCAAACTTGCCAGCTTCCCATCACAAGCAGATTGAAGAGTGTCACCATACCATTGGGGTAATCATTAAAATTAAATAACAGATAACTCATTAAGTCAAGGGATATTAACTCAGAAACTGAGGTATATAAAGATACTTAATAATACATGATAAAGCATTGTAGCAAATGGTTCATGTAGGATACTCGTTATCAGCAAGATCAGTACTTGGTAAATCTGGGTTACCAGCATTGACTATCCCACCAAAGATCTAGCCACCATAAGGAAACAAGTAAGTGGCAATGATTATTCATATATATTATTAATTATTAATAATAAAAAAAAAAAAAAAAAAAAAAAGAAGGAAGTGGCTTGTTTTCAACATACATTTGAAATCTTAGAAAATGAAGTACCTGGATACCCATTGTACAGTAAATGCACATGACAGAAAAGAGAGTACCCAAGTATGGCATCAAACTTGGTATCAAGGTTAAAAATGTGGTAACAAATGCTCGGTACCTTTGAACATGCATCAACAGCCTAATCAATCTTAACATCCTTGCGATTAGAAGATAACGAACCCTGGAAAATAAAAAAAATGGTGGAAACCTGTTACTTAGGTTATATAGATTCAAAATAACGGGTATTGACTATTTAGAAGAAGTCAACCTCAGCGCAGATTGTATGAAACTAATAACTTGAAATTTATTACAGCCTTACCAGTTCCCATTTGAAATAAATATTAGTTCCTTTGGAGAGGCGAATGTTGCTGTTTCTCCAATAACTACAAAACATCCATGAAAGGAGTCCAGCCTAAATAAACACTCCCCAATATTTACCCTTTTTTTAACCCTAAACAATCTACAATATATCTAGGCTTTTGTTCCATCGTCATTTACTTATTTTGTAATTTGTATGTATGCCCTTTGAAAGAGGAACATTAATCATATATATTGTGAAATGTGAAATGTACCTATGACCCATGTCGCAATGAAATCAAATCGGTTTTGACCATCCTTCCAATAATTTTTGAATCCATATGTATACACTTTCAAACCCATCTCGACTACATATATCCACCCTGCATGGAAAAACAAGTCATCAATCTGCTGTTACATGAACTATTTAACCAGAATGGATATTAAAATATCATTGTATAATTCATGAGTTCTTTCTTTACCAAAGACAAACTCCACCTTCTGCCAGAATTTCTGACCAGAGTTGTTTTGTATATCAAGCTGTGAGAGAAAGAGTTTGACTTTAGAGGATCAGTTAGCTAATATCGCCATGTCAGCAAGTACTAGTGTTGAAATAGTAAATTCTTGTGAAAATATAAGGATTTATGGCCATACCGTTGTTTCAATTATAACAGCAACCACATTCAAGAGGAGAACAAAAGAAAACACATATCCTGAATTTGGACTTTTTACAAAGCTTTTCAGTGTTTCAGATAAAGAAGAATTATAAAAAGGGAACTTTTTTAGCCAAGGTTCCTGCAAAATGAAGACACGTGTAAAAAAAGCTGAGTTAAAAGTAACATTTTTTATTCCATGTGAAACTGAAAAACACTTCATATGAATAGCAACTTACTGTATCCTCCTTTTGAAATTTTGAAGCAACTGCATCGCAAAGATCATTGAATTCTGATTCATTAATCTACATTTAAAAGATCAGAACACATCAAACAACCAACTCACAAGAGGCTATAGACAAAAAAAAATTACCTTAAAATCATGGCCATCATCCAATGAATCAAATACAAACTCAAAGTCTTCTCTTGATATTTTTGGAAGTGTCCTGAATAAAAGGTGTTTATTAGTGCCCTGAATAGGAATGAGAAAAGACAAGTGACAAAACCACAATATATTTATTTATTTACAATTGCAATCACCTGTATTTATTAAGTTCTTCTAACAATTGGATACATTGATCCCTATCAACAAAGCCAAAGACCTGTTCATTTGAAAAGAAACTTCATGACAAGTGTAAGATGCTTTGGAATGAAATTTCAACAACATGAATGATTCATACTCACCTTTTCATCAATGAGACGAAAGGCTGTTCCTAACATTCGTGTCTTCATTTGATCCTTCTCACCAACTTGTTTAACTAACTGCAGTTAAGAGGAAATGAAAGCTTCTAACATACATACAAGCTGATATAGTGAGAGTAAAAGGGAAAGAGGAAAACTTCAGTTTCACTAGGACCCATGTAACAACAAATCATGAACTTGCAACAGTTGTTTTTTAGGTTCCAGTGAATTTGGCTACATGAAGTATAATTAACAGATGTTGGTATCATTAGAGAAATGGAGAGGATTCAAGAAAGGTATACCTCACTTTTGAAGCAATCATATACAACAGCAAGAATCAAGTTTGTGACAAAGTAAACACCCAAAAGCACATAAAGAATGAAAAAAATGGAAGACCATCTTGATGATCTGAAAAGAAGAGGGAAAAACAAACACATTACTGAAATACCATAAACACATACTGCAGTGAAATGTGATAATTATTATTGTCTTTCAAATGTGTCATTTGGGTAAAGTTCCTAAAAAAGCATGAATCATGAAATGTTATATCAAGTAACTCACTTGTAGGCAGGAATCCAAACATCTGGATTGTTTGATGTGGTAAATAGAACAAACATTTGATACAATGTAGCAGAGTAAGACACAAAGATTGTAGTCCCCTGTTGGGTGTCTTCAAAGATGACATAAGCTAACCAACTTGAGAACAAAAGAAATAGAAGCCACAAAGCCTGCATTCAAGAAAATAATTTATCCACATTTATGAATAATTATGGAATAAATGTGAGCATGAAGAAAAGTAGAGAAGCAGTCATGAATTCACAATAAGGTTATAGAATACAAACCAAGACATTGAGATATGTTGTAAACATTCCAGCCATGAGAGTGAGGCTGTTCCTTAAGTCTCTGCATCAAGATAACAAAAAAAAAAAGAAATTAGCCTCACAAATACATTACTTTCTAAATTAGGATGAGTTTGCATGGCTGATGTAAGGGACTAAACATTGAAGATGCATCAGCAATCTATCATATTGGAGAGTTTTGTATGTAGTCATGCAATACCTGAAGTTCAAGATAAAGAAAACTACCCTAATATAAGGTGAAATCCACAATGGAAGAGAATAGATGGCTACTGGAGAGATATAGAGGATATCAACTGTTAAATCAGCAGCCAGAATTAACAGTAAAAAGACCTGAAAACATAGCATAAGACTTTAGTGTTAGGTAATTAGGTTGGTTTTAAAAAGAAAAAGAATTTTGTAGCATAGACAGTAACATCTAAACAAAAATTAAACTATGTAAAAGAATGTACACTACATGAGTTTTTTCCATTCTTTTTTTTTCCTACCATTCTTTCTGCTTCTTTTTTATGCTTTATTATATCTGTTTTTCGTCCCTTTAAAACTGTTTCAAGATTTGGTAGATGCCAAAATTTTAAAGGAACCTAACCTAGAAAGAGGACATAAATTACATGGATCGAACTAGTCTTGATATAGTAAGCTATCTAGTTTGCTATTGCAAAATGTGATTTTACTCTATAACAAAGTCAATTGAAAATATTCAGATAACAAACTACATATAGCAATTTCATGTGCAAGATTTAGCAACTATGTACCTTCAGCTTGTTAACATGGCTTCTCCAGTAGAGCCGACCCCCTTCATATAAAATAGGAAATAGAGTATGCACCAAAAGAATTACAAGGGTCACACCCTGCATAAGAAAGTAGGTCAATAATCTAGATTACCTACATATACAATCGTATGATTTTCAGGTGTAATGAGTGTGAGAACTGCTTCCTAAGTTGCTATATATATATGGTCAAAAATTATCCTCTTATTCAGTTTGCATGACTCATTTCTCTCATGGAAAAGGGTAATGAAATCATCAGGTCATAACAGATTAGTTTCTACAGAATATACAAGACAATAACCTTATATGCCAGAGATTCTGCATGAGTCAAGTATGGAAGCTCCCCAAGATAATAGTAGTCCCTATGATCACTGCAAGAAATCTCAGAAACACTGCTACACCATAGTGGTTTCTGTACTTTGAAGTAATAAAACTAATTAGAAAAAAAAAAAAACTATAACAGTAAACTCAGATAATCAGTAAGAAGTTTAAAGCAAAGAACACTAACCTCAAAGAAATTCAAAGCTATAAGTGCAAAATGATTAAGGGTCCATAAAATGTCAAAGCGAGTGAATGTGAAATATAACTTTGCTGACGTATCAATGTTGGGTAAGTCAAAGATTTCCACTGGTAGAATAAGTCCATCTTCAGCCTGGAAATAGCACATAGCAGTTCTTAACTTAACAAATGTTAGATATAAATAATCAAGATGTAGCAAGTTTCTGATGCATCAAGCATATTTTTGTATCGAAATCAACTGTTTCTTTGTGTATTACGCATGAGGAGGAAGTCAGATGGAGGATATAGTTTTACTCAAATTTCATTGACAAAAATAAACAGAGGATTACGAGATCAACAATAGCAGCCGCCTTCTGATAAGGAGATCCGTAAGTGATGGCGTCTGAACGGCTTTTATGAACTCTCTGGCCTCCTGCAACACCCCCAAGCAAAGCCGCATCCATCAGATGGAAGAAGATTTGAAACATCGGCAAGCAGCTCTCATACGTGAATGAATATAGATACATGTAGTTTATATGTATATGTAGAGAGAGAATAAGAGAACAATGACATCGGAGAAGACTTACAGATTCTATGGGGTAGTTGTGGAATATTCAAACGATAAAAGTTGTCATGACGTGCTTCAGTAGATTCGTTTATCAGAACACTTAATCTGATACAAATATTTTTTTATTATAAACGTCTATACCAAATTACAAAATGAGAATTCGCCATGCTTTCGTCACTATTCCCTGACACTGACTAGCATGCTCATGCCTCTATCTCTTCCACCTTCGTCTTCTTAAAAACCCTAAAATCAAAACTATATTACAAAACCAAGTTCAAAAAGAATTCCGTAGAAATCAAACGTAAAATTAGAACAAAAACGAAACAAACCGAAGACATTAGATCGATTGCATTAAACTGAAATAGTTAAAAAAAAAAAAACAATTCGAACAGATCCCTACTCTACATGCTGGTGTAAGTCCAAATGGCCAAGAGCAATCGATTGATCAGAAGCTAACAGAACAGATTAACAGTAGCAACTAATAGAGGACAATCTTGGGCAGCGGGGATCGATTATGGGGATGAGTATTGGGCAAAAACGATCAGGTTAGCAGTACAAATCGAACACGGAGGTACTGGTGGTGAATTGATTGTATGATAAAAACACAGACTAGGAAATTTGAGTGTAATGAAAGAAAATCAATCAGGGAAGCAGTGAGCTACCATATGCGCTCCCTCCATTTCGTTGCATCTTGCTCGCCCGTTCTATTTGGAAGCATCTTCGGAGCAAAGGAGGACGCCGGCGGTTGAGCAGAGAGGAACAACGAAACTACTCCAGAATGTCAAATGGTTACTCTTGAGTTTCTGTTTAATTTTTGTTGCGTAATTATGGTAGGGAAATCCTATCAATATATTAGTAACGGTCTAATTAGTTCGCAAATTGGCAAATCGGAAGATATTTACGATTGTTTAACGGTCTAATTAGTTTGCAAATGGATCTCATTTGTATACAACATTTTTACTCGGTAAATAAATTTAAAGTGTTATATTCAACTCTGCATAAACCGTATGGTAAAAAGTTATTGTAAAAAATAGATATAAAATTAAGACAAAGTTACATAAATGGTCCCTGAGGTTTTTTATATTTTTGGTTTTTGTTATTTTTATTTTTTCCTGGGTGTTTGATCTTTATGGTTACATTTTGCTACAAATTTAATAAGCAATTACTATTTTACCTTTCATTTAAGATTTTTTCGTGGTTTTAGTCCCAAAATTAAGAAATTCTCGTGGTTTTGGTCCCTAAAACACTTGAAATGACCGTTTTGTCATTTTAATTTCTTTTTTGAATTTTTTTTCATATTTCTTTTCATTTTTTATTAAGTAAAAGCAAACCAAAAAAGGTTGGGCCCACTAATGCCCCATCTCCTTCGTGATCACAAGAAACCAGATGGACCCTTCTCTTTTATCTCGACCATTTCTGTCTCACCCTCCTTTACTCTCTCCGGCAAGACAAAGCTTGCACTGTCGTCCTTGCCTCGACCGACAACAGCAGTCGAGTTTTTCTCCTCTCCACCCTCTGTTCTACCTTTATCTTTGTTCTCCGGTAGAGGAACAGGTGGCCACGTACCAAGCAACTTTAGTGGAAGCTCCGCTACTTTTCCAGCCATGGCAGCATACTGTGAGGTGACTCCACCACTAACGTAGTGTATGAGAGGTTGCAGTTGCTAGTTGTGAAGGGAATGGAGGTGGCGGAGATGAGAATGGAGGCGATGGAGACGAGAATGGGGTGGGGGAAGGTGGTTTTCTTCTTGAGGGTTGTTTATTGTGTGTGTGTGTAAGAGAGGGAGAGGGGGGTATGGTAAGTGGGTGTTAGGAAAAGGGTGAGGTGAGTTTTTTTATTCATTTGTTAATTTTTAAAGTAATAAATTAAATGTAAAAAAATGAAAAAATAAATGAAAGCGTAAAATTTGTCTTTTTAACTTTTTAGGACTAAAACCACAAAAAAATTATTGATTTTGGACCTTCCATGTAAGTCGAAAACTTTTTGGAGCCTATCCACAGTTTTTGTGAAACCACAATGACCAATTTTGCAGTTTTATCTTGATTATTTTATATTTTAGATTTATATTACCTGACTTGATCTCTCCGTTCTCTCTCGTCTTTTCCCCCTCCCACACCTGTAATGCCCGTAGATCCGGGCTAGTCAATTTAGAGATAATAGGGGTCGAAAACGACTTTTCGACAAAAGATTATTTAGAATAAATAATCTTAACCAAGTTGTAGAAAACGTCTCAAGGTTTCCGTACATATAAAGAACGCCGAATCCGAGTTATAACGAAGAAGTTATGACACGTCGAAGTTTTACGGCAGAACCGGCACGGCATCGGGAGACGTAAATAGTGAATTTACGATAGAGCGACTTTTAGCCTTAGCAATCTAAACGAAAGTCGTAGAAAACGTTAAACCGAGAACATACAAAAAAAGTACGCCCAAATCTGACTTCGTATGAGGAAGTTATGAATTTTCTAAGATTTGGCATAGCAGTGCACGACCCGAAACTCGAATTTTAGATCGAGCGGTTTTTGGCCTACGCGACCTAAAGGAGAATTGAAGATCTCATTAATAGGAACTCAACGATAAAAAGACAGACGAAAACAGAGTCTGTATGTAGAAGTTATGAATTTTACGCGGACATTTAACAGTATAATCTCCTCGTACTGTTAAATTTAAGATCGGTCGAGAATTAGCCGACGGAGTCAAAATGAAAGTTGATGTGCACGGAAGTACCCACTAATTTTAATATTTATAACCTAACAAACTTAGACTAACTATGCACTTATAGGCAGTGTACCTAGTCAGATTACAGTATAGCTTAGGTAAGTCGGGTGTCGATCACATGGAACGGTGTTATTAATTAATCTATTCACTACTAAATTAATCTATTTATTAACAAACTAAAAAGGGGTTTTTTATCTGATTTTGCAAGATCAGACTAACTTAACTCAAATTCAATCAATAATTAAAAGACATTCTTATCTAGTTCGAATCCACTTCGTCCTTATGGCTAGCTAATGATTATGGATTATTAAGTTGGTTATTATTATATTAGTAATTTAGGTCTAAATTTACCAATAGTTAATTAATTCATGTAAAGCTATGTATGGTCACACACAATTAAACACAGAATCAATTATGTTATGAATATGCTATGTAAGATTTATCATGTAAACACAATTATGATCATAATCTATGTTCTCTAGCACAACAAAGTTAATTACTTCAATTACTAACTAAGATTTTGGTCGATCCTAGCTCTAGCAATTCAATGTTCACTAAATTACTAGGTTATCAAGTTCATGCAGTTAATGGTCACTAAGCTACACATAACATGAATTTAAGCAACTTCAAGCAACGACATAAGCATACTAGGTAACAATAAATCAAACACGAGCAATTCACCAACTAAATAAATCCATATAAAATTATGCTATTCATAAGTTTGAAGCTTCATCTAGCTAGACAAGAGTAGCTAGATTCAGCTGCTCATAGTAGCAACTAACATATAAACACAACTCAAATAAAAAACCATGTCTATAAGCATCAAACAAGTAAACGAATTATGAACTTTTACTTTTTTTGGTGTTGAAAACCCTTTTCCAAGACCTTGCTTCTGCTGTAAATCGCCTCCTGGAACCTCTTCCTTCAGCCAAAAGTCCTCCCAATCGTAATGGAGAAGGATATATATATTTTCTAGAAAATCACCGTTCACGTCGTGAGAATTTAGAATTCACGTCGTGAACTCGAGGTAATCGTGATCGTCAAGGATTCCTTCACCCGGATGCTTATCTTCTAACTCTTTCCACTCACGTCGTGAACCATAAAGTGTTCACGTCGTGAGTACGTCTTTTTTTTTTTGGGTGTTTTTCTTGTCTTTCAAGCCTTCAACCTCCAAAGTTCCATCCTTTAACGCTTTTAGTCCCTTTTCTTCAAAATGTCTTCTTTTTGGCTGCAAAATATAATTTAACCTTATAAGTACCATTATTCTATGCAAATGACCAAAATATATATAAAAATGTACTTAAATATTGCCTAAAAATATGTATAAATATGGCAATATCAAAAGTTGTAGATCTTATTTTTACCTACGCGTGGATATAAAGAACGTCAAAAACGGAGGTCGTATGTGAAAGTTACGGATTTTAGAAGTCGGAAGTGTGCTATGCGAAAATGGGTGATGTGGCACAATCTTGGCCATTGCTTTCTCCCCAAGTCTTGCCACTAGATGGTGACATGTGGCACCAAGTTCAGCCATTTTTCACCCTATAAATAGAACCTCTCCCACCCTCATTTTCTTCACACATTTTCCCATTCTTTCTTCTCTTTACTCTCTTTCTGGAACCTCTCTCTAGCCCCGAAACCCCCCGAAAAGCCTAGGAAACCTCCCTAGCACGAGGCGGAAGCCCCGGAGTGCTCGACGGCTCCGAGAAGAAGAGCTTTTCGGTTCGGGAACGCTGCTCCAAGCAAAGCCCGATTTTCTATAAAACCCGCTGTAAGTGAGCTACGCCTACCCTTAGTGATTGAGCAAATACCGGTTGTGGTAGCCGCTGCTGAGCCAATAACCATGGCCGGAGTACAAGCGATGATCCAAATGATGTTGGATCGTCAGATGGAGGAAACAAGGCATTTAGTTCAACAAAATCGAGAGGAACTTACGGTGCCTATTGAACAGCCCGAGCTCAGTGATGTGCAGTCAGAAGGAGGGAACTACAGTGGGACGGTTGGTCGAGCCGACCCACTGATAGTTAGACGAAACAATTAGGATGGAGGAAATGACGGACGTAGATGCAAGTACAAGGATTTCATGGCATCAAAACCCCTAAGTCTTTCTGGAAGCCCAACACCGGTGGAAGTTTTGGACTGGATCTCCGAGATGGAGACAATGTTTGAGAGTTGCGAGTGTAGCAACAAACAGAAGACCGCT